AGATCCCACCAAAAACTGTTGACAGGGGACAGATCCTGTCTCTTATACACATCTAGATAAACTTGGCTGGTCGGCCGTGGCCGAACCCGGCCGATTTGGCCGACGGCCGAGGCCGCGGCCGACTTGACCCCCCTGGCCGCGGCCGGGTGTGCAACATAGATCAGAGGGCTTCAACTTCGTCATGGACCGGAGCGTGTACGACAAGATGGAGGCCATGACGAAGCGGGATCATACGATCCACCCGAAGAATTTGGCGGACACAGGGGCGGCCGAGGGGGTTCAGATGCCGGCAAGCGCGGGGGCGGGAGGGGAGACCATGGGCAGTGAGGATGGAGGGGAGGCAGCCGACGAGGAGCAGGGGTCGACGAAAGACTCCACATTCAGCGCGGGGAGAGGCGGCGGTTACGGGAAAAGGAAGAACATGCGGCAACAAACATTTGAGGTCGTCGCCGACGCCACGGACAAGCATGGCGCGCTCATGGCGAGCACAATGGATAGGGCGAGCAAGCGACAATGCTCAATGATGTTACGTCAGTGCGAAATCCTGGAGAGCGAAGTGGAAGTGCAGAGGAAACATTATGTTGCGGCGGATGAGGCGAACAGAATGATGTGCAACACCCTTATGGATATAGCAAAAGCCATCCGCGAGAGATCATGAGTGATGCTGACAGCAATGTCCACTTTTGCTTTAGTGGCCTTTCTCTCCACGCGATGCGCCTGCGACGACGGCGACCTTCCATTCGTTCATGTGTGTGTGTGTGTGTGTGTGTGTGTGTGTCGTCGGCAAACGCTGAACAGTACTGTTCGCTGAAATTTATTTTTTTTTAGTTCCAGTCTTCCAGGAAAATAGTGTGTGTGAGATTTTCGTTCTCCACAGCGAGAGTGCCACGTGTTGAAGGGGTTATGTGGGTCCAGGATTATGGCTGTCTCTTATACACATCTAGATGTGTATAAGAGACAGGGCTTTGCTTGGGCCCGATCAGGCGCTGGCAGCACTGTGGGGTGCCTGCCACTGGGAGGGGTCCTTCGGGACATCCGTTAAAATTGGAACGATAC